CTTTGATAATTTGCTTCCAAGAATTTAAAATACAGTAGTAATTATTGTTTAATTAATAGTTATTATATAATAAAACTATTGTTTAATAAAATAGTTAATTTCTTATAACTATTGTTTATTATTGTTTAATAATAATTGTTTTATAGTTTAATTTTTATAATTATTGTTTAATTTTTGCCAAGTGAAATGTAGAGCATTTGTGAATGTGAATTTGCTTTCAAGAATTTAAAATATGGTAGTTAAATTTTTTTTAAATTAAAATTTTGACTGCTAAAACAGGCTTGCTTAAAAAAAAAAACACCATCCTTGTTTTAAATAAAAAAATGCTTAATGCATTAGCTTAATTTTTTTTTTTTTAATGGACATTTTAAATTAGCGCAATATAATAATCTATTATGTAAACAACCCTCGGAATTAAGGTTGGCATTCGGCAATGTGGACCTAACTGCTGACCTGAAAAAGTTAGAGGTCCGCAAAAAATTGCCGACCTCGTTTCTATGTTTTATGGTCAGACGTTTGTATCAAATAATTTTTGCCGACCTGATGCAGACCACAAAAAGATCGAGGTCAGTAAATTATTGCCGACCTCATTTTCCATAATAACGAGGGTTGTATCATGGAAATTTAATATTATGGAATTTAATATTATGTAAATATATATTATGGAATTTAATATTAAATAACTAAATTAAAAACTGCATTTTTCTTTTTAGTATTTAATTTAAACTTTGTTACTTTCTTTTTTTTCATCATTCGTATAAATGAATTAAAATAGGTTTAATCTTTTATTATTATTTTTAGCAGAAATTAAAAAAAAAAAAAAATTTTTTAAAGTAAAATTTTATTATTAAACAATAATTACTAATACTTTTACATAAAATTAATTTGAAATTGATTTTTTTTTTTTTTTTTTTTTTACTTTTATCTAAATTTATTTTATTTGTAAAAAGCACTTATGTTAAACGGAATTGTCATTCAAATTTTGTTAACAAACTTTTTTACACAATGGTCATTCAAACATTTAAGTAGTTTTTATACAGTTGACTCTAGATATCTCGAACTTTTATGTATCTCAAACTTTTTTTCAGGTTCCTTGCGCACTTGTCTAAGCCAAAATTTTCTTGATATCTTAACTTTTTTCCCAATCCCTTGAGAGTTCGAGATATCAAAAGTCAACTGTAACACTTCTTTTATCATAACACCTAAAAGATACCTTTTAACTAATATAGATAATGAAAGATAATTAAAATGTCATATAACTGAAATTGCTTTAGGTGTACACAAAATAGCTTAACCCATACATAAATTACAAACTGCATAGTGCTTTAAATTAAGGCCTGTTAAAAATCCACAAGAAAATTATGATATGCTTTTTGCATATCATAATGGCAACATTAACTCAACGCTGAATGTGTAAATATGTAAAATGAATGTGTAAAAATGTGGAATTCCTAAACCAACATCAAAATATATTTACAAATGAATCAAACAAACAGGATATCAGTAACTTACCTCTTAAAGTTAAGAAAGAGTTAATCAAGTTTTGAAACTGGAATCTTGCATGCTTGGAACAAAAAAAAAAAAAAACACCTCATCAGTTCATTAAAGATGTTGGTATGGCCAAAAAGAGGTGGTATTAGGAATTTATGAAACACAATCCCAGCCTTTAGTTTGAGATTGACTGAACCAACTTCTATGTCAAGAACCACAGGTTTCTGTAAAGAGAAGATTGTATTACTGTTCAATAAACTTACTGAGCTTGTTGATAACCAGAACATTACTGCTGATTTCTTTTCAAAGTAAATGAAACTAGAATCAGTACAGTTTAGAAACCAAGAAAAGTGTTAGCTCTAAGAGGTAAACACCAGGTAGGAGGTATAAAAAGTGGTGAAAGAGGTGTTTATACAATTGTGGTATGTTGTATGAATGCTACTGGATCTTTTATATCTCCTAGGATGATATATAAACATTGAAAATTTAAGAAAAATCATTTCGATGTTCTGATAATGTTTGGATAAAAATAGATTTATTTACATCATGAATTAGTCATTTCATAAGCTCACTTACTTGAACCACTTTAAAAAAACCCAGAACAAAAAACAGTCTTCTACCTCTTGATGAGCATTTAACACTAACAAAAAACCTTGAAGCTAGTTCTAGCTTCATATCATAATAATGTTTTCTTTGCCATCACATAATTCTTATAAGCTTGGATTCGATTCCCACCATGTCCCTGGTAGTACCGGGCTCAACTTGTTTCTCCGCCTTGTTTATTAGGGTTCGTGTTTTGGAATTATTGAGTTGAGAGAAGGTTATAACCACAAGTAGCCTCCTCATCTGTAGTGGCCTTCTTGGCCTTGGGGAGGTGAATTACAAAAAAAAAAAAAAAAAAAAAAGCTATAACATTTAGATCTTTTTTCAAAGTTTTAAATTCTAAACAAAATATTTGCTTGTAATAAATGGATGAAACCCACCAATTTCAAGTACTGTTTGGGAAAACTTACTCAAAAGTTGTTGGTATGGTAATTGCTATATATGGATTTAGAGACTCATTTTTTTAAAAGGACTTTTCACCTTCTGAAATACTCAGAAGAGAAATAAGTTAATGCAAATACTTAAAAAACAGTATGTTTTGGCATTGTTTACTTTTTTTATAGAACTTTTTACTTTTTTTTCTACAAATTGTTTAAATATCAGCTGTTGTTCTGATTTTATATTTTCTATTTCGATATTTTATTATTTTTATGACGAACTTCTTTTTGAAAAACTTTCTCCCCATGCAGTGCAAATTCTTCACTAAAGAAAAAAATAAAAACATCTATGGCTGCTCTTAATGACACACACTGCACACTAGGGCACGACAAATCGTTTTTTTTTTTTTAATAAATGTTAACGTTTTTTCTTTATTTATTGACAAATGTCTAATTTAAGAGATATATGTCAAATAAGACAGTTTTATTTTTAATTCTTTTATTCTTAAATTTTTTTTATTCAAATAACTTTTTATTAAATTATAAGGAGGTTTTATTTTCAAATAATTTTTATTCTAATTAATAAGATATATGATAATTAGATATATCAAAGATGCTTATTGGATTTATTAATTTTTTATTCAAAACAATTTTTCATGCATTTGCAAAGTGTGCGCAAACTAATGATATCTAATACACAATACCTTATGAACTGTAATTAATAATAACTAATATGCAAACCTTATGACTGTTAACTGTTATCCATTAATACATAATAATGAATTTATCTCGATTTAGTTTGTTGAGTTAATTTACTTATAAAAGAAACATACCAACTTGAAGAAAGTAAAATAAAAGGGAACAATAAAATAAAAGTTGTTTAGTCATTTCTTTTTTTAAAAATTTAAAAATAATAATATAAATATTTAAAAAGTTTTTACCTTAAGTTATTATTAAATACTTAACATGATATTATTATATTTATAATATTAAGTATTTAATAATAAAAATTATATTATTGGTGTTGTTAAACACACAATAAAAAATGAAAACATAATAGTTAACATAATAAACATAATAGTTCTATATATTCTATTTCTGCAAATCTTAAAAAATCTTTTCAAAATTTTTTAAAGTGCAAACAAACATTACGTTACTTTAACAATAATGAGAAAATTAAAAAAAAAAAACACACTTTTGAAGAAAGCAATGTTTTCGCATGAATTCTTTTAAAGTAATTGCAAATGCATTCATTTTAATGTCATTAAAAATGCATTACAAATTTTAGTAACTGTTTTTTTTATAACTATATGTTTTTTATAATAAATAAAAAACTATTAATTGCATAATTATTTAGTAAAAAATAACTGAAGTAATGCATTTGTTTTAAAAGATTTTAAGCAAATGTGAATGTTTGCGTAAGTAAAAGTAAGGAAACGTGGCGTTGGTTTTTCTGTCTTTTTTTAACAAACGTTCGCATGTTCCTTGATTGCTCTCTGCACATGACAATATACTGTCTAATAGAACTTCACTACCATCAATGAAAAAAATAGAAAAGTAGATTCTTTTATTTTATTTGTTGTAATTTTACAGTTACAACTTTTATATATAATATAATGTTAAACATTATTATGTTATATTATATTGTATACAATACAATGTTAATTGCAATTAGAGTGCAAAGAGTGCAACATTGCAATGTTAATTGCAATGTTGCACTCTTGTATAATACACAAGCGCACATACAAAATACGCACATACAAAATGTATATCTATGGTTTTCCATAATTTTATTTTTATAATCAAAATTTTTCCAACAACATAATTTTTTTGCTTAAGCATATTTGTCAAAACTGTTTTTGGTTATTTTGTAGCTTGCAGTGTCTTGATATTACAATAAAAGTATTACCTTAATAAAAGTATTATCTTCATTTCCAAAATGTATTACCTTAATAAAAGTATTATCTTCACTTGTCATAAAATAGCTCCAGTACTATTGTAATAACAAGCAGTCCTTATAAAAACACTCTAACTAGTACAGCTTTACCAAGACCAAATAAAAAAGATAAAGCAGAACAGACTGTTTAAAAAAGAAAAGCAAGCAAATAAATAAAGCAAACAAATAAAGCCAATAAAATAAAGTGAAAGCTGGTTTTGAAACCTTTGGGAAGAAAGTATTTTAAAAAAAAAATGTCTTACTTGCCATAACTTTTACAAAGAATAAAAATTTTGTATTTTACTTTTTTACTTTACTGTTTTATTTTACTGTTTTATATTATCAATATAATTTGCAGAAATATATATACATATATATATTCTGCAAATCATATAATATATATATATATATATATATATATGCATATTATATACATATATACATAATTAAATATTAATTATGTGTATATATATATATATATATATATATATATATATATATATATATATATATATATATATATACATAATTAATATTTAACTTGAATACATATATTTAACTCAAATTATATTAATATAATTTTAGTTCAATACCTATGCTTTGAGGCGCATCAAAATATGGATTTTGTCTACTGAAATGACCTCGATCCACCTTCAGCATAGCTTCTTCTACTCTTGGCGATGTAAGAATACCATTTTCTAAATATGTGAAAAAATATACAAAATGTATCTGTTAATGACTGAAGTGGTTTTTTTTATATTACACACTTTCTATAAGTTTTTCTAACTATTCAAAAAATTAAAAATAAAAAGAACAAAAATCGTCATAAAAAATAGTACATTTATAATTACAATTATTTATTATAATTATAAAACATATATTAATATTAACTAGCTGTCTGGACCCTGAAAATACGAGTCTTGGTTAGTCTATTCCACACCAACCATTACTATAATTATTTATTTCAATAATTTTTAGTAAGTAGTAGAAAATAAAAATCATTTATAAAGTTTCAAAATTTTTTTTCCAGACCATTTGCAGCTTATTAGGACTAATAACCTGAATACATTAATAACATAAGTACTTCTACATGACATATATGGAACAAATTTCTACCCGTGTTTTAAAGTATTTAGAAATTTTAAAAAACTCTCTATTTTGTTTGCTATAGTATATAATATCCATATATATGTTATGTATATTATATTTATAGAACTTTAAAATTGTTTAATTTTGTATTTTAAAAAATCAAAAAAGATTTAAAAAATGAATGTGTATGCACAAGAATTTCAACTACAGCGAGCAAGGATTTACTCTACATTCACTTGCTGCAAGATAGCCACTTCTGCCAAGGTGTATTGTTCAATAAATTTTTCAACACTAATTAATAAAAAAAAGAATTGGCAAATAAATGCTATAATTCAAAAAGTATAATAAATTCCATTTAGATTTTTGGTGACATGTAAGATTATAAACAAGCTTGGTCAGGAAGGCGTATCATTTCAAGTCTTTATATGACCACACAAATAATATTTTGTTTTGACAATTTAACCACGGTTTTTAACAAATGCGCTGAAAAAATGGTTTAATAATAACGGATAATTATGTTAAAAATGAATAACTTTAAAATGTTTATCTTTACTAACGTTTTTATATTAGCAAAAGGCTTTTAAATAAAGTAACTGATGATTTTAATCAAATATTATTAAATATAGTATTATTGAAAGTTCTATAAAATTATATAAAATTTTTTATAAGTAAAATAAAAAAGTCAAAATTATAAAAAAAAATTTAATTTTATAAGCGACAGCTTTAAACAGTGATGGTCTCTTTAATAAATGTTATACAATAATCATTAAAGTTTTTAATGATTCTTAATTCACTCGAAAAGCAGAAAGATTTCGTTGAGAAGAAAAAAAAAGACAAATTTTTTGAAAGCTGTTTGAAGAAAATAACTTTGATCTTTACTTATGTTTTTATATTATTGAAATGCATTTAAATAAAGTAACAAATCACTTCTAATGATTTTTAATAAAAATATTTATGAATAAAGTATATTTTATATATTTATATAAGTATGTATTTTTTATTATGTTTTTAAATAAATAAAAAAATAATAACTTTTTAAATAAACGATTTAATTATTTTTCTATTTGTTTACGTTACTGCGAAGAATTATTAAGAATCTTTTTTTTAACTTTTAAATGTGCGCATTTAACAATTGTTAGAGTGTAAGTTATATTTAAAAAGTTGAGTGTAAGTTGTTACTATATTTAAAAAGTTGAGTGTAAGTTGTTACTATATTTAAAAAGGGTTTCGCATAATATTATATTATAAAAAGAGTAAACAATTCAAAATTATTTATTTTAAACAATCTTATCATTATAGTTTATTCTAAACAATACTATTGTTTATTATTTATTTTAGTTAAGTTTTAATTTAATTTTTTTATTTTAGTTTTAGTTAATTTTTTTTTATTTTATCTTTTATTATTTTTTTTCACAAAGAATTATTTGCTTCATTACGGTAAGTATTTTTTTAAGTTTCTTCATAGTCAACTTTTTCAGCACATTTTAAAAATGTATACAAACTTTCAAAGCATATTAACATCCGTGGTCAAGTTTTGAAATCAAATAGTATATGCGTGGTCACATTATAACATGAAATTGCATGCCTTCCTGGCCATGCCTGATTACAAATAACTAAAAATATCAAAATAAAATAAAAATTTAAACTAGAGTGTTTTGAAATATTGGGTCCCAAAGTGGAGTCATAAAAACTAGTTGTTTTAATAATTTTTAAGCAAGTTCCCTTCATATGTTTTACATTTTAAATACAAATACATTTTAAAATTTTTTGTACGAACTATTTATTGTAACATGTAAGACAAAGAAGTTTGAAAAAACACAAAGAAGTTTGAAAAAAGATATAATGAACCGTGGTTCAAAATATTCTAAATTTTGGGTGATTTAATGTGGACATATTGATCCAATAAGACTTATCTTTTTATCAAGTCTAAATAAGTTTTGCTTTTATATTATTAATAAGTTTTTATTTTATATTATATATTACTTTAATGAACAAATATGTAACTCTACAATAACCATGATACTTACTTTTCAGTGTGTAAACTAAATCATTATTGTCTTTTCCATGAGATCGCCAGGCCATTTTCCTTGTGAAAAGTAATGAAAATGTAAAATATTTCACCCAAATGTTCATAGATTTTCTAATATATAAAAATATTTTAAAAACAGAACAATGGTATATTGCAGAAAAATGAATTTTGTTATTATTTTTGAAATTAAAAAAATCTTAAATTAAAAAAAAATAAAATAAATTATTTTACAGAAAAATGTAAAAAAGTATATACAAATATTATTTATATATTAATATTAATTATATATATATATATATATATATATATATATATATATATATATATATATATATATATATATATATATATATATATATATATATATATATTAATTTATATAAAACTATGCTGTAAATTATATTATAACATATTTAAACATAATTATTAAAGAAATATACTTTTAAGACAAAATAAAACTATATAGATTTATAGTTTATTATTTATCTCTTCACATTTTTATATCTTTCTATAAAGTATTTCTAAAACTTTTAAAAAAATTGTTTTAAAAAACTGATTTAAATTATAATCTTTATTTCAAAGTGTTTTTAGGGTTTTCTTTATTTAGAAAACTTATTAAAAGTTATTGGGAACAAGGACTTCAGGACTTTGAAAATGCATATTGTTAGGTACATGGAAATCTGTGTTTTATGGAACTGAATTCAGCGCCGTACTATCGCAAGTGCAACAAGTGCAATCGCACTGGGCCCCCTATTAATACATTAGAAAAACTTCTCCAATACCATAAATTACTACGAATTGAAAGAAAACGTAGTACAACCCTCTCTCAACTCTTTAACTCCGAAACACGAACCTTGACAACCAATTAAGTTGAGCGCGGTACTTCCAGGGACGTGGTGGGAGTCGAACTCAGAACCTCTCGCTTACAAAGCGAGCGCTCTTACCACTACACCACTACCCATTAGTTGGCGTACAAGATATGTTTTGTTGCATAACTTTTTAGATATTTTTTGATACCAACATAGATTATTTTTAGTTAAACTAAGAACTTTTTTGATATTATTTTTAAAAAATAAAAAAAAACTTTTAAAATGTGTACACAAAATAAATGTGAAAGTAGAAAAACAACTAAAAAAAAGTACCCTTTAATTTTTATTTCCAACCAAGTAATAACTTTAATACAATAATATAAGAAGATCAAATTATTCCTGTGGGAATATAATAAAAGTTCAAACTTTTCCTTTGATGGTACCCATAAGCTTGTGCACAGAATAAGAATTAAAGCCATTTGATGTTTTTTTAAATGATATTTTAATACCTTTAATATTTCTGCAAAGTTTTTTTTCATTTTTCATTTTTCTTTTATTAATAGCCCAGTACTTTTCAATAACTCTTAATTCTGGGCAGTTTAGAGGATTCTGTTTTAGGCACAAATTTCACATTATTATTTTTATACCATTCTAAAGCTATTTTATAATAATGAATTGAAGCTAAATCTGGCCATAATACAGGTTTTTGCCACAACTACAAATAGCTTGCTAAATCAAGACTTTTTTAGCAAACTTGTCATGTTTTATGTATTTAACTTGGGTTAGTCTTAAAACTGTTAACCAGTTTTTTAACTAGTTTTTTATCTTTAAAACCCTTCTTTCTTCCACCACCAGATTTACGTTTGATTGATTTTGTTAGAGAAAAATGTTGGATTACGCGACTAACGGTGTATGGATGTATTTGCAACGCTTTTGCAATCGAATTGTAGCTACTATTGGGATTTTCCAAATATTTGTGCATAATTTTTTAACTTATGTCTTTTTCTTTTTTCATTTTTAAAACTAATTTTAAGTTAAATCAAAAAACTAATACATTTTTTTGAAACACGTTGTAAACAAAATACAAAACAATTAAAAAGATTTTTATTGTTGTACTTTAGACATATGTCAAATATGTCATAATGTCAAAGATATGCTTTTTTTTTTCTATCCAATTCTTTTTTTTTTAGTTTTCCAGAGTAGAAAAAATGACTTTACACTATATCTTACTGGAAAGATATAGTGTAAAGTCTTTTTTTTTAAAGCTGTTGATCATTGCATGAAAAAGATCCAACTTGTTGCAGATGTTTTTGGAGAGTTACAATTTTATTAAATGTATATTATGTTTTAAAATACTACAAAAGTATATACTTGACATTTATACATTAAAAATACTGTAAGTTTTATGACTTGCTAAAAATTGTACTGCAAGTGTTGTGACTTGCTAAAAGGTACTACAAGTTTTGAGACTTGCTAAAAGATATCCAGGCCTTGCGATAAAGCGTCGGGCGATGTGAATTTTACGTCGTCCAAGAGCGATTTTGCGTGTAGCTAGGGCTATTTGCGTCGAGCAAAAAATTTATTGTTTGAGTATATTTAAAGATATTTTTGAGCGGAATTTTAATGAAGTAATTTACGATTATTTTAACATTTAATAAAGTATTTTAAAAACCGCACGCAGTTGAAACAAAAGTTTGAATTAAAAAAAATAAAACGTCAATAGTTTTTCGAATAATTTTTAGGAATAATTTTTTTCGCTGAAATATTTCTTTTATACCTATAAGATTTTTATTCTAACATTATATTTTATTTTACTAGAAATAAAATTCCTTGTTAACATTAAAAATCTATTCAAAACGTTCGTTTAAGTTTTTTATTAATACGAGTGATTGTGCTTATCAACTGCTTTATGAAAATAAATATAAATAAATAAATATTATATAAAATCGCTTGTAAAAATATTAGCTATTGCACAGTTTTTAATCGTACAATATTAAAGTTTCCAGTTTATTACTCGCTGACTTTAAAAAAAAAAAAAAAAATTATTTGAAAAACTTTAAATTACATATTTAAGGAAAAAAAAATCAAATATTAGCATATTTTATAATCTTTTTTAAATTTAAGTTATAATGTTTTTTAAGCGTTTAGTATAGACAAAACGTGACAAACGTCGAGAAAATAAATAAATGTTTTTACAATTAAAAAAAAATAAATTCCAAAACATTTTTAAATAATAGCATTTCTACATAAACGATATAAAGTAGTTTTGCGGTAATTAAGTAAATTGGTGCAGTTAACGTCGATAAATATGAAAAGCAAATAAAAAGAATTTAATGACGTCAAAAATCACGTCGTGCTTATGCGTCGCGCAGTTCTTATTCATCGCAAGGCCTGGATATCGTAAGTATTGTGACTTGCAAAAAAGGTACTGCAACTGTTGTGACTTGTAAAAAAGTACTGCAAGTGTAGGTACTGCAACTTGTAAAAAAGTACTGCAATTTTGCAAGTACTTGCAAAAATCCACTGTAAATGCTTAATAAAAAGGGTGATGGAAAAACTATTGGATTAACTGTTAATTAATAATCTTAAAAATAAATTTATGATACATACTTTCAATATAATCTTGAAAATGGGTGAGATGGAGTATAATTTTTTTAAATTAATAAATGATCACCCCTTGTATCAAGCATCTGCAATTACTACAACTGTTGCGACTTATTATGCACTTTTAATAGATGACTCAGACATTTATACCTTTTTACACCTTCGCATGGTGTCTATTGTTAAAAATTATTATTAAATAATTTTATTAATTGAATTTATCATTTAATTGTAATCATTTACTAAAAGCCGAGACAAAACTATATGAAATAAAGCATCATTAAAATAATTAAACATTATTTCTTGGCAATAACATTTTATTGTTTTTAGTTTGAAACAGCGTTTTTGTTAACCAAACTTCTATTAAGCACTATATGAAAGATTTCATGATTTATAAAGGTTGGTAAAATCCTTGTTTTGATTACCTTTTTTACCACTATTAACCGAAAATAGAAATCCCTCAGTACCTCAGGTAGTAGGAGAATGTTTTCGTAACTTATTCTTCAATTAATCGAAACAATATTCCTTTCAAATAAATTTTTTTACGCTTTTTTAGGTAGGGGGAAGCAATATACTAAACAAATTATATAATATTCTATACAAAATAAAAATATTTTTAAAAAATAGTTCAACTAAAAAATTACCTTTTCTTAATTATGCTAAATAATAAATTACCTAAATCTCTTCTAAAATTCTAAATTAAGCTTTAACTTAAAAATATGTGTGTGCTTTTTCAACATAAAAACCATAGATTAGCACTTTTAAGATTTTATATTTATTCACAAAACCACAAAAGTTCTTTCTAATAACAAAAAAAATTTAAGTTACACCGCAATATTTTGCTAAACTAATGCCATACTCTGTAGTTTTAAAACTGTGGTTACGATTCGTGGAATTATTATACAGGTTTTCCCGCCTCATTTCGACATTTTATGATTTAATTTCGACATTGTATCTTTACACTTTGACACTGTTGCATTTAATTTTGACACTGTTGCACTCTATTTCAACTGAGTTGCTTTCCATTTCGATATTTTGAAAACACTATACTTTGAATAAAAAGTTTCATATTAATGATGAAAAAAAATTTTTAATGATAACGGGTTGTATTTAATTTTGTGCGGCTGAGGCGCAGTGGTTTAAGAGCGCTTGCTTTATAAGCAGGAGATCCAGGTTCGAAACGAGCTTTGGACATATTTTCGCGTCACGGTAAGGAAGGAGGCGTGAACTTCCTGGTTAAATACACTTCCGCGGTGCTCTGTGACAAAACCGTTAGGTCTTCTTGGGGCACCTAAAAAAAAAAATCAGGATAAAAAATAACTATGGGGCTTTTTATTAATTCGAAAATAGTTAAAGTGGATACTGAAATTATAAATATGGTTTCAAAAATAGTTTTTAAACACACCTAAAATATATATGTAAAATAAATCATGTGGATATTAACTATTTTAAGCTACCATAATAATTGTTTTTAATTGCCATATTAATTATTTTTAGTAACCAGATTACTAGTTTACATAATTTAACAGATTACTTATTTACAATCAGAATTCACAGTAAAAATTTAATTCTTTTAAAATATTTATAAAAAGCAATGCCGAATAAAACAATCAACAATGAACCGTTTAAGTAACTGAATTTTATTTAAATGGAAATTCATCATAAGAAATTGCAAATACTCTTATATTTAAAAATTTTATTATGAAAAAATTTAAATGTTTCTGACCAAGATATATTTTAATGTTTGCTGGGGAGACAAATATTAGATAAATATAAATGTTTGCTGGGAAGAAAAATATTAGATAAATAAAATATAATAGTTAAATAAATAATTCAATGTTCTATATTTATATTTATAGTGTTAAATAAAACATAACATTCAGTGCCATTTACAGCTTCAGTTTCTTTCATAACAGACGAATCTGAATGCAGCTTCCTGGCTGAGGCTGAAGTGGATATGATGAGTGGTACTGTTATTTGTGTTGATGTTTTGTTTATATCTAGAGACGATCCTATTGTTTCTGAAGAAGATATATTTATTGATTTTTTACGTCCCCAATACTTTCGAACTGACGATCTTGGCGGACTTGTACAGGACGCACCCCCTTAAGTTTAAAACACGCTTTATCGAAAATGATATTTTACTGACCTAGTAAAATTAATTAATTTAATTGATTAAAGTGTAATTACCTCAATTGATCATAAGTGATAAATAGAATTAAATGTAAATGCTTTGACTAATAAATAGGGATTAACGCAACGAAATATACATTCATTAATTGACCCTGAGAATTTTAAACAGTTTTGGTCACGATTATTAATATTTCATAGGGGGTGCGTTGTGTACAAGTCCGCCAAATGCTGTTACTCTAAACTAAAAAGAGGGAGTTTCTGAAACGCCGAATTCTAAAAAGCCGAAACGCCGAAATGTCGAAAAACCTTCTAGTAGAAACCAAGGACGTATTAATAGATGGACGTTTAACGTATTGTTTAAAAGGCGCTATTCATTGTTACAAATAACAATAGCAAAACAATAGAGAACTATTTTTAACTTGAGAATATTTTTACTTGATTTTACGTCAAAATAACGATAGTCTCGCCTAGCCTTACAAATATTTAAACATTCCATTACACCTAAAAACTCTAAAAAGTTTTTAAATAAATAAAACCTTTTCATATATGATCTATAAACTCAAGCGAAATCTTTACATGGAAAAAAAAAAAGTTAATCACAGAAAAATATTAAAACAAAATTGTAAATGAGACAAAATTTCCGACAAAAATGAGAAGTTTAAATACTTAAAATAATAGTGAAAACTAAGTGTAGGGAATAGACACCACAAGTAATCTATAGTTCGATCTATATATGATCTACAGTTTTACCTACAACATCTAGAAAATTCATTTCACTTTGCAGTATTCATTCTTGCAAATTAAATCACTTTTTTACAAAAATATGATTTTTGACGTCTAAGTTTTATTAATAATAAGTTCTTATTAAAAAGCGCTCACGTATCAAATTTGACATTTTAAAACAGATGAGCTAGATCTGATTAATTAAAATGCATTAATTTTTAAAAAAAGTTAGAGTTTTGTAGGTAATTGCACTTTTTAAAAAAAGTAGTTAGAAAAGCGAAATTATCGGAAAAACGTCGGTTTACTTTTATAAATTATTCAGAACAATGACGCTAAAAATTATAACTCGCATAGGTTGCGGCGCCTCAGATCTATAACAATGAGTTAAACGTCATCTATTAATACGTCCTTAGAGAAACTGAATAAAAAACGGAATGAACGCAATGAAAAACCGGTAGTCAACCCCCGCATTATTTTTTAAATTATTGTTTTGAATTTTATTATAAATTCAAAACAATAATTTAAAAATTAAAAAAATAGTGTAGCGATAAGTTTAGTATTGCTATGGCATCTGTGTATCGTCCATTGAAGTTAGAGTGATTTTCACCAATAAGGTAAGTTTAGTGGAACCTGCACAATAAGAGTCTGTCACAAAAAGTCTGTCACTAATATTAAATATGCACAATAACCTGTTATCACAGCAAGAGTAAAATTTTTATTTAGTAAATGTTTTGTTGTTATTTTTTCTATATGTTTCTTTATTCTGTTTTAGTTAACACAGATTAAAGATTAATTAATCTGTGTTTTTTTTAATCTGTGTTAGAGATTTGAAAGAATTGGAAGTTTCTTTTTTTAATTTGTTTTTTTTTTAATTTAAAATTTTTATTTACATAATATAAAGTAATCTTTGAAGTATGCCTGTTTTAATAGTATGGTTGATCCATCAGTTTGACAAACCTCAAGTACTTTATTTTACTTATATAAGGAAAACAGCCATGTTTTCCTTAAATAAGCTGAAACAACAACAAAAAGCAATATATTCACCAGCAGTATAGATATTTTACATAAGCATGTTATAAATTACAAAAAATATATCTGCAATCTACATTCTGGATGGTTCACTCTTATATAGCCTGTCTAAATTGAGGAGAGCGATCATAAACAAAACATAAACAAATCAAATAAAATAAATAATACACACACAGAAGGTTACTATTAGTCAACATTCATTTTTATATCTTGTATATCTTCTATGGTGATATATATTTTATCACCAGTGATACAATTGTTGTTTCTATTTATCTTGATGTAACAACTATTGTTTTAATTTAGTTTTGAGACATATTTTTTAATGTTGTAAAAAGGGATTTTTTTTATTTATTTTAAAGTTTATTCCAGTCCATTAATGCAGAGTATTTAAAGGAATGTTTACTGTAGGATTTTTGTTTATGCAGCTGTGAATAAGTAAACAATTTTCAATTTTGATTATATCATGTAATTTTAAAATTTGCAGAGCATTAAAAGATGTGAATATATGGGTACTTTTTAGTAGAAATTCAATAATCCTGACTACCTTTTTCTGCATGATAAATAGGCGATTCACTTATGTTTTGATTCCATGATAGAAGACAATATATGATGTGATAAAGTATAGTAAATAGATTTTAAAGTTTTTTGTTGTATGAAATGTCTTAGCTTTGATAAAATGGCAAGGGATCTAATCAACTTTTTAAAGATATCATCATAAGTCCAGGCTAAGCTATTGTCTAGCTTTATACCCAAGTAGTTTACAAATTTTTTGCACCAAAGTTTTTCCCATTTAACTTAATTTTGAGCTGCTGGTCTAATTTTTTGTGACGACTTTTAAATATTATTAAATCAGTTTTTATAGAGTTTTTTTTTTTTTTTTTGTAATTCACCTCCCCAAGACCAACGGAAATTTGCGTATAGTTTGGCATTAATAGTTTTAAATCAGTTTTAAGAATAGATATATTATAAATATATCTATTCTTAAAACAAATACAAAAAAATACAACTTGACAAAGAGATATTAGAAATATTAGAACAAATTCTTGAAAGTTCCGTTTTTAATAGTTTTAAAATTTTTAACGATTGTTTAACATATTTATTTTAATGACAGTAAATATGGAGTAGTTAGTTTAGCAGCAAACTTAAATTTGTTTAAAAAAGTTTGTTAAATAAATTTTGTCATTATTCTTTGAAGTCTTTATATGTATACTAATTTATTTATAAGTATACTAGTTTATTTATATTTAGAAAATTGACAACAAATGCAAGCATTAGGAGAAACTTTTAGTTTTGGAAAGTGCTGTTTATGAGAAAAGGTATGTTCTAATCAAATTATTATATTAAAACTGTCTAGAAGATGATAATTTGTTACTGTTTAGAAACAAAATGGACTTTGTATATGAAGTTCAATACTTTGTTAAAACTGGAAAGAAAACTTTTATATACATCAGGAATCTTTGAGGAATCAGGACTCTTTGATCATTAAAAGGAAGTATTTAGTTCCACATTATAAGACAAAAAATAATATATTACACACTAAAAACAAAAAAAAATTGTTATATAGTCAAGTTTTTTAATTCAGTTAAAAAAGTAGAATTTTTAAAAAAGCCAATATTCTCAGATAATGCAGAGGTCCTGATAAGAAATACAATAAAGAATGAAGTAAGTTTATATTTAGATATGAGTTCATTATAAACATAGCAGCAAATTTATGAAAAACATTGGGAACACAGAAAAATTATGGAATGCATTGGAAGTTGTCAAGTCAACAAATGTAAACAGTTTTGAGAAAAAATTGGACAAATTTTTGTTTTTTTAATTTTTTATTAATTTTCAGATTTTGTATCATATTATCAAAAGTTATATTTGTTGAATTGAAGTTATATTGTAGTATATTATCAAAAGCTTTCAAAGTGAGTTTCTAACTCACTTGCTGTTAACGCAGCTTCAGTTTGACTAATACTATGATTATTATATATTTTCAAATGTAAGCATCAGTTTTTTCAGTAATTTGCTATTACTGAGAATATATATATATATATATATATATAAATATATATATATATATATATATATATATATATATATATATATATATATATATATATATATATATATATATATATATATATATATATATATATATATATATATATATATATATATATATATATATATATATACTAATTATAAAGATTTTTTTTTTTCTCTAATTTTTTATTTGTTAAAAGACCTTCAAAAAAAAAGTAAAATTTTTACTTCAGTATTTAAATTACCTGATTAGGAATTCTAAAATGAAGAAAGGGATAAAAACACAAGCACATAAAATAATTGTACAAAAAAAGCGTTATAGGTTAAAGCTAAGAAAAAATACCAGTTTATTAAAATAGCTGAAAAACAGTTTCAAGTTTTTATATTTCAATAATATACTTTAATATTTAGTTGGTCCTCCTTTTGCTTTAATTACATCTAACAAGCGTTTTGGCATTGATTCTACTAGACACTTAATTTGATTATTGTCGATGTTAGACCATGATTTAACAACAGCTTTCTTCAAATCTTCTTTTTTTATAAATGATCTAGTACCTAATTTTTTATCTAATAAAGTCCATAAATGCTCTATTGGATTCAAATCAGGGCTCTGCAAAGGCCATTCTAAAACATTTATGCCATTTTCATTGAGAAAGCTTTTAGTTTTTTTAGCAGTGTGTTTTGGATCAATGTCTTGTTGAAACAAAAAAGTATTTCCCAATCTAAGCTTTTTAGCAGAAGATTTTAAACTTCGTTTCAATATATTTTTATACAAATCAGCATTCATAGTTTCATCAATAAACTCAAGTTTACCAACACCATTCCATGTCATACAACCCCATAACATTACACTTCCACCGCCATTTTTAACTGTTCCTCGTGTGCAACTTAAATGAAAAGCTTCACCCCTCTTTCACCAAACTCTTTGTGCGCCATCAAATTTTTTTAAGTTAAACTTGGATTCATCAGACCAAAGAACTTTTTTCCAAAATGATACAGGCATTAAATAATACATTTTTGCAAAGTTCATTCTTCTCTTCATATGATTTTTTGTTAAAAATGGTTTTTTACGAGCTGCTTTATAAACCCTGCTTTATAAACGCGATTTCTAATTGATGTAAGTGAGATTGTGTTTCCTGTTAAGTGTTTCAAATGATTTGCTATATTTTTTGCAGTTTCAAACTGATTTTTTTTTTATCATTTTTAAAATTTCTCTATCGTCTCTTAAACTTGTCTTCCGTTTTCGCCCTCGTCCAGTATGAATTTTAAAAGTTTTATATTGTTGATATTTCTTTACAATGGCTCCTACTGTTGTAAATGGAATATTTGTAAGTTCTTCAACTTTTCTATAAGTATTTCCTTGTTTAACCAAGTCTATAACAAGTTTTCGTTGAGTAGTATTTAAATATTTACCTTTGGGTGCCATACCGTACAATAAACAGAGTTTTTAATGTCTTTTTCTTCCAAAATTTTATTAATTGCTAAAAATAATGTTCTAGAAATACAAAGTCAATAATAAAATTGATGTTTTATAAATTAAAAAAATTATAAATATTCATTTTCATAACAAATTACCAATAAAACAGTTTTGTACAATTAATTTATGTGCATGCAATTTAATATCTGTTTGAGAAAAAAAGCAAAAATTGTATAGTAAACACATTTTCTTATATATTTACTAAAAAATTATAAATAAGTAATAGTCATAATAAATTTAAAAAAAAATGTTTCAATTATTATCAATATTATTCAAGTTAAAAACAAGTTTTAGTAAAATAAAATGGAAAAATTACTTTGTACGATTAAATTCTGTTCTCACTGTATATATATATATATATATATATATATATATATATATATATATATATATATATATATATATATATATATATATATATATATATATATATATATATATTTATATATATACATATATATATATATGTATATATATATATATATATATATATATATATATACATATATATATATATATATATATATATATATATATATATATATATATATATATATATATATATATATATACATATATATATATATATGTATATATATATATATATACATATATATATATGTATATATATATATATATATATATATATATATATATATATATATATATATATATGTCAAAATATAAAAGTCTCATTAACCAAAGTTTCAGGTAAAAATCTTATAAGGTTATTTTTAATTGATAGATTTAAAAAAATAAATTATTTTTAAATGTATTTTAGCATATACTGAAGTAACTTTGAAGTTGTGTGAGGGGCAAGGAGTTTAGATGTAAAGTACTCACATACAAACTAATCTGGCTTTGGCTAGTCAATATACTACAGGAATTAATAATAAAAATAACTTTCAGAAGATTACCAATACTTTCTTCCTGTCATCTTCAAAATATTTGAAAAATTAATTTACTGTGGATTAGTGAAATAAAAACGTTGTTTAAGACGAATTTTTACTACATTTATAAAGTGTTACTTTATAAGGCATAAAATTAGCAGTAATTTTTGTTTGACAATTACTGTTTTCACAATTTTTTTAAACCCAATCATTTTGGTTCAATTCAATTTATTAAAAAGTAAAAAACAGTTTGAGTCTTCAACGGTTGAAATTATTTTTTAAACTTCGTTGAAGAAACAGTCATTGCTCTAAATTATAAAGCATAAATTGAGATCGACCTGATGAAAGATGGTATTATTTATATATGTGATAATTAATAAAAGACAATTAGTTTTTAAATGATCAGATGAATGCTGGCCTTTATTATATGGCTGATTTTGTTACATTAACTATGCACAAAATATAATAATATTTTGTGCATAGTTAATGTAACAAAATCAGTCTCTTTGTTCCAAAAATAAAATTTATGTTTCGCATAGTAAATTGGATTTTTTTACTCTTGCATTTCCTTCGTTTTTGTTAAATATTGTTTTGTAAAATTTATTGTCTCGTTAATATAATATGAATGTGCAGACAATATTTTTTTAATTCGCATTTTATATTTGTTATAAATGATAGAGCTTAAATATATTTATGGATTATTATATTATTGTTTAATAACTTAATTGTTTTACTTTTTTTTCCGTCGATAAAATGCCACTACATAAAATAAGTGACTACATAAAAATAAATGTATGGTTTTAGTAATCCCTGATATGCCAGTAATAACTCTTACTTGTTTTAGGTTAATTGAGCAAGGAATTTTCTCTAGAAAATCGCCTAAACATGGTAAAAATGCATGTTTAGGTAGATAGAAAAAATCAAGAAATTGTTATCTAAATATTCAGAAAAATGCTTGATATATTAGAAAATATTTGTTAGTATATTATCTAAAAATGATAACATTTGCTATCTAAAAATGATAACATTTGTTATCTAAAAATGATAACATTTGTTATCTAAAAATGATAACATTTGTTATCGTTTTTAGATAAAAATGAAAATAAATTTTTATTTAACGTGGCTTTTTATAAACAGCAACCGTGGCGCAGTGATAATAATTATAATTTAGAACGAGGTTTAACGCCGGCTCTAACCCAATAACCGTCATTGGAAGGGAAGAAAACTTTATAGATAAATGCTCCTCCGCTGTGTTCTGTGATAAGAACTTTACGGCTTTTTGGAGAAACTGAATTAATAAAGAAGTCGCTGGCAACTTAGAAGGAAGGGTCACCCTGCTAAAATTTTGAAGTAGCGCAGTTTTGTTTACTGTTTAGGTCTCTCTGTTGACTTTAACCGCCACTGCTCATAATAGAAAAAAAACAGCACTCCACATACATTCTTTTTTACTGCACTCAAAATTTTTTCTTTGATATCTTACCAATAGAAAAACTTTTTTTTTTTTCATTAGATTCTAACACATAAAGGAATTCTAACAAAAAGCCACCTTAATTTTCTACAAATCGCGACGTTAGAATTATCTTGTTCTATCTCCACACTTTTTAGTTTTGAGATAAAACGATTTAAATAACAAAAACTTTAGGAGAACTTATGTTTAACTTATGTTTTTTCCTTAACTTTTTTACTTATAACTTAGGTTTCAATTCAGTAGAAAGACATTATTTTGAGGAACACAACACTATCATTAACTCGATTTTTTCTGAAAGTGGAGATAAAACAAGATAAATCTAACGTCGCGAAATGTTTGCTGTCAAATCTATAGTTCTAAAGTCTTTGACCTTACTCAAGGTGACTAATCCTTTGATTAAATATTTTTGAGTAAGTGCTGCAGAGATGATTCATTAATTAATCCGCGCGTACTTTGAAACTTAAATGTTACTTTTTTCTGTTCAATTTGATTTGATTCAAAACAAATGTATATAAAAACTCTTTCAAAAGTCTTGAACTGAGACCAAAAAAGCTAAAAGTTACATTTTGTTCTGTCATTTGCAATGTTTCAAAATGTTTTGGTCTGTTTAACATCGCCCACAATAGCTTTAAAAATATTTGTAAAAGATGCTAGTTATTGATGAGGACCTTCAAAGATATCTAGCGTCAATGTTGCTCAGTGTGCAATGATTCATTTTTATATGAGTTTGAGGCCCACATAGAATATTATCGTGTAACAAGAATTGATATCACAAATGATGCTCTCTATCACAAAACATGCTCCCTGCTTGTAGACAAGGTTTGCTTAAAATTGTTGTAGTGTATTGGTTGATTCTCTTACACAGCAACAAAGGCTTTTTTCTTAACACAGCTTTCTTGTAATTATTTATCTAAAAATTCGCTCGCTTGATGGTTCACCTAGGTGTTCATCAAGCTAGGTTGTTTAATTGTTCACCAATTAAAATTTTCTAAATTTAATTAGTTAACAATTTTTACGCAAATCCTCTCAATACTACTACTAAATATAAAATTAGCAAACAAATTTAAAAATAATTTTATAAACATAAGTTTTTATTTCGTCTCCTTTTCCGTTATTACTCGCAAAAGTTTAAAAGGACAGAAGCACAAGCCAAGTTGGGCTTTTTCTGCTGTCCCATTTGCAAATGCGCAATTAAAAATCCGGGGGATACTTAACTTTTCGATGTCTTTTTTTACGGTTACCGCAGGGCTACTAATACGCCATTTTTTTCGGCATTTCGAAAAAAAAATTGAAACATAGGTAAAAAATACTGAAAAAATTGATTTTTTTAGTATTTTTTACCTATGTACCACCTTAAAAAAACAAGAAAAATAAAAAATTTTTTTAAAAGTTATTTTTAAATTTACTTTCTAAAACAATTTACAAACAAATTAGTATCGTAACGATGATATCTGTTGGATTTAAGGCACTTTAACACGAGTAAAAGTTGTCCGCTTTAACGAATCAGTAATTATTGCATCAACAATCGACTCTGTGTATGATTTGTGAGCAGTCGATGCACAAACAAAAAGAATAAACCATATATTTAAAACAGACAACCTGAATAGTAATAACAGTATAACAATAACATATCAGCCCCAGGCCATATTTAGGGGTCTCAGGCAAATTTAGGGGCCCCAAAAAATTTTAAAGGACCTTTTTTTTTTTTAGTCATTTTTAGGCTCTGGCCCATAAAAAAGTCTCCAAAAATAAAAATAGTCCCGGGCCCCAAGAAGTCTTAATCTGCCACTGAGCATAATAACATAATAGTATAATAATAACGGATCCAGGAATTTTTATTTTGAGGTTTAAATATTTTTGTATTTTGTATCACATTCCATATATATATATATATATATATATATATATATATACATATATATATATATATATATATATATATATATATATATATATATATATATATATATATATATATATATATATATATCAGTGATTGAAAAGTTCCTTTTTTAAAAGATCTTGATCCGTTCCCCGTTCATTTTATAAAATAAGAACTAGTTCCAGTTCTTCGTTCTTTAGTCAAAAAGAAACTTGTTCCACGTTTTTCAAAAAAGAGAACTCGTTCCTACTTCGTTCTTTTTTTAATACATATTTTTTATTTTGAAAATTGTAATAGTAATTTATTGTTTCGCATGGCGAGCAACGCTTTTTAAACGTGTTTTATTAAGTTATTTATTTTAAATAGTTTTTAAACATTTCTGGTATCCTACCATCTTAGTCTGCATCAGCTTGTACTATATACACATGTAAATAATATATTAAGTTCAATAACTTTGTTTCAATAACATTTTTAATAACTGCAAAATCACCAAGAGTTTTATTTATTGGATCCATTTTGCAAACTAGAACTGCGTGCAATAAAACTATATTGAAATTTTTTTAGATTTAGTTAGCTACATGTACTAACTTTAAAACTATATTGGTAACTAATATAGATTAAAAATTAGTATATACGGACAACTAAATATGAAATAATTCCAAACTAAACCACAATCAGTTTAGTTATAAAATTAGTAGTTACGGCTGTTGGATAACTGAAACTAAACTTAGATTTGATCTAAATACAACGCCTTTGAACCGTAAAAACAACTTTTGCGAAATCCAAATTTAAAAAGGTTTTAGGAACTATTACTTTTCGTTCACGTTCTTCCAGAAAAAGAATTCGTTCTCTTTCCTCGTTCCGTTATTAATATATATTAGGGTATAGTGATTTTCATAGCAAAAAAAAAGTTAAAACTTTCCTGAGACACGAATCGATGTCTAATAATTATAAGAAGAAAGTAAAAAAAAATTTTTTTTGATTTTGATGAGATCTTGAGGTTCCTCTTTGTATTCTAAATTCTTGACTGGTCCTAATGTTTTTGAATTTTTTTTTCTAAACCATATCAACCTTAGTCTCAAAAAAACAAAAAAAAACTTTGGTAAAAAAAATATTTGCAAAAATATACCTAGTTAGCATAGTTAAACCTTTGCAACCAATCATTGGACGAGTTGAAACATCATTGGTCAAACCTTGCAACCAATCATTGATTTCTTGAAGAGTAAAAAAATTGTTCTAAATGGCCTACGACAAAAATAATTCTAACTGAAGTGGAATGAGACTTTTGCATAATATGTTAATATTATGCATAGGATCAAATAAAAGCATTTTTGTAACATCAAACCCTGGGATGTATGCTTTTTGAAACAATGCCATAATATTTAGACAATTTTAGTCTAAATATTATGGCAAATATTATGGCATATTATTATCAACTTTGTTTAAACCAAAATTTAGTTACACGTGTCATATGTTCAGAAGCATTGCAAATAATGCATTCTTCATGGTTAGAAAAATCTTTCATTTGTTGTCTGGTTGAGTTCTTCTGCAACAACGCAATGTCTTTTTACTAAAACCTTCTTTAAAACCTCCAATTGCATTTGCAGAAAGAGAATCACCTGAGAAGTATACTACTTCAACTGTAATTTTTTTGGAAACACCCAGAACTTTAATAACAACTTCATTATCCAGCTGGCTTATCGAAGAAATAAAATCACTAAAAAGAATCTTGTAATATTTTTCATTTTTTACGCATTTAGTAAGAGTAAAAAGTAACGGAAAGATAGTAGATGTTCTACCTCAATACAATGAAGAGATATTTAAAATTTGTAAGTAAAAAATAAACATTTTTTTGCTTTTTACGTGCCTTTCCTATAGGATTTGTTATTCCAAGGTCGTCACAATGTATTTCAATTTTCATGTGGTTTGTGTCCCCATTCACTGCTGTAAAGTTATTAATTTTTTGAGATTGTAATAAAAAAGACAAAATTTCAATGAAAGGAATTATACAACCTTGCTTATTCAGACCAATCACGTTTGGAGTTGGATACTGTAAATTATTCTTGTAATATTTTTCTCGTAAATATTGTGTTGACAGTTTATCACAAGTTGCTTTTAAAGTCTTTATGTCAACATTTAATACAGAGAGCATCTCCTTTAAATTACTGAAAATTATGTTTAAAACATTTTAAGTTTTTGAGTTGAAAATTACGCTTAAAACATTTTCCTTGTAAGTGTAATGGTAAAGCTCCTAAATAATCTTCATTAATTTTTGTGATACAAATTTAAAACCTCATTTAAAACCTCATTTTCTACTTCATTTTCAATAGTGCA